GCCAATGCACTTCTCGAAAGCGAAAGCGGTAGCTTCGTAGTCGTGCATGTACATGTTGTTCAAGCTGCGTTCAAACCACGTAAGCGCTTCGAGCTGTTTCAGCTTCGACTCGCCCACCTCGTGCATGAATTGAACAGCCTCTTCCAACTTCTTCTCAGAGGCGAGCATCCTGGACTCCTCAAGTAGCCAGAGATGACTCTTGGGGTACCTTGCGCGCATGTAGCGGAGCAAAGCCAGACACCGTTCCTTAGGGTATGCTCCCTCGCCCTTCGTAGGAAGTATGTCGCAGAAGTTGGTAAAGCCATTGATATATCCCATAAGCACAACTCCAGCCATGGCACCGTGAATGTTGTGGAATTTAGTCGCTTGCCACAGCATTCGCATTCCTCGCTCCCTATCACCCTTGAAGCCAACGATCTTCAGTAATCCAGCAAAAGACGGTGGGATGAACGAAAGAATAAGTAACAGCATGCCGAAGCAAAAGTTGGATCCGGAGAGGATGAAGACATCGACTGGGTGGTTGCTGAATGACGCAATGTCTGCATCGGCATCACCCTCATCGTTCAAGGTAAGCTTCTCAAAATATTCGACAGCGTCTGGTAGCGAATTGGATGGGTTCTCGTTCGTGGTAGGAAGCCCTGGTGCCGAGCTTGCTGCGACATCCACCTTCTTTTGAGCATTGTCTAGCTCGACAGTAGCACCTTTGTCAGCGGCGACGTTGAGATGCCCCATGTATTCTACAGGCGTTTCACCGCCAGTGTTATCTTCTGGAGCGTCCACAAAGTCGACATCGTCATCGTCGTCATCTGTGGCCTTCTTCGCAGCCGGTCCAGTCACTGTAGTATTCTGCTTCAGACTAGAAGTCGACGCTGCAGCGGACGGCCCGGTAGACGTAAGACCCTGAGAGCTCTTCAGAGCACTGCTTGCCACATTTGATCGAACCGAGCCCTTCGAAGAGGGGCGCGATCCTACCGAGTTAACGCTGCTCGTACTCCTCTCTGCCAGAAACTTTTTCTCATTCTCCATCACACCCTCCAGCGCAAGGTATGCTTTCCTCAATTTGTAGAAACTCTTGATAGCCTCTGTCAAGCTCTCGTTGAGCACACCAACGACAGCACTCATCAGCTGTGCCTCTGCCTGACATACCGCGTACTCGGTGCCTGGAGGGTATATGGGCGATTTATACGCGTTCGGATCCTTGCTAACACGGCGTTGGTGTTCGTAAGCGGAGTTCTCGGCCACTGATAGGGCATTGGCAGCTGTCGACCATGTCAGTCAGTGCATGTCCTTGACACCATGTTGAATATGAGATCAGACCTTCGCGTACGATTTCCGGCTCGAAACCCAACGTCGCCCGTATGAAGACACACACTCCCGCTCCGAGCTACACGATATAAGACTAGAACCAGAGTATGGGCCCGAGGGCTGGAAGGTAGGTGTGTACCTGGTGGAATGGACTGGATCCTTTGCTAAGGTGTGCTTCGGCGCTTTCGATATCATCGGCCATGATATAGGTGACGGCTGTGCTCGCGTGTGATTAGACTTGTCTGCGCTACTGTATTGGCTGGAGTTCGTACCGCTCATGGCATCCTCAACTGTGTTGTATTAGTATCTGCCTAATATATGCATGCTTTTCAACTTACTCTGAGCCATTTCGCTCAAAGAATCTAAGCTCTTCGAATGCCCGGGAGTATGGCCCTTGAGCCAGCCGCCGACTTTGAACATGCTGGATGAATAATCCCACGCCGCGGAGAGACTGGTCGAAAAAAGGTTGACCAGAAGAGGCTGAGAAAGAGAGATACGGGAAAGATTGAACGAAGAGAAGTAGTAAGTATATTCAAATCTCAGCGTAAAGCGGATACGCCAGCTAAGACACTGAGCGCGTGTCTAGACACCTACTAGAGCCCACCAGACGGGCGGTGCTTACAGCTTCGTCCGGCTACTCGGAGCTAAAGTACGTGTACGTCATGTTCATTATCCGTACTTTGCCCTCCAACGCACCCCAGGTCCGGCTTGAAAAGAGTGAACGAGGTACAACGGCGACAGCAAAGCACCACCATGCATCACAAGGAACTTTCTCGGAGCCAAGCAGCGACCTTGACGTACTCGTACCCCGCGAACCCAGTTGCCAGGTGCACCACGTGACGTCGCGCTAAGCCTTGCGGACAATCGCCGCCGCCGCTCCTCCGCTGTTAGAGCCGCATCACCAAAGCTCACCAAAGCCACAACACCGCGCAATCACAACTCGACTCACCCATCCGTACCATAACACGTCGCCGATCGCATTTCCTGAAAACGCCACAATGTCCGGCTCAGCACAAGGCAGCAACGATATGAAGAAGGCCGTCGTCAGCGACTCCAAGAACGGCGAGCAACCACTGGCGCCCGAGAAGAAGCCCGCGACACAGCTAGAGGAGGATGACGAGTTTGAGGACTTTCCTGTAGAGGGTATGTTGGAATGGTTCAAGGGGGGTGCATCACGCTGACGTGTCTGCAGACTGGACTGAGGAGGAGACACAGATCCCTAACGGCAACACACATCTCTGGGAAGAGAGCTGGGACGATGATGACACGAATGACGACTTTGCGGTTCAGCTGAGGTAGGACAATTATCTACTGGAAATGTATAGGTGCTAACAACAACCAGGGAGGAGCTTAAGAAGCTGGGCAAATGAGCGATACCTATAGTCGACACGAACAGACGCGATTCGAACGGAAGACATGACGACCCATCAAATGAATGAGGATATGGCTAGCTCGAGACATAAATACGGTTGAGAAAGTGAGCCCAAAGACTCCACGCATCACGTCCATAGGCCACGAGGTGGAATGCGGTATCTTTATTGAACCGAAAAGAGCTATAGCTACAATCATAACTTCGAAGATATACCTTCCCTCATCTTGAGCTGCCGTTCACTTCTATGAGTGACTGGTTTACTTACTTGACAGGGCGGATACACCGGGCAGGTCCTTGCCCTCGAGCAGCTCGAGCGACGCACCACCACCGGTCGAGACGTGGGACAGCTTGTCTTCTACGCCGTACTTGGCGGCAACAGTGGCTGTGTCACCACCACCGATGATGACAATCTTGCCGCTCTGTGCAGCATCAACGGCAGCATCGAGCGTCGCCTTGGTGCCCTTGGCGAACTTCTCAAACTCGAATACACCGGCGGGACCGTTCCAGAGGATGGTCTGCGCCTCGCCAATGGCCTCCTTGTACAGCTTGATCGACTTGTCACCGCAGTCGAGACCCATCCAGCCATCTGGAATACCGTCCTTGTCCTCAGCGTAGCCAGTGTTGGCATCCTTGTCGAACTTGTCGGCGGTGATGTAGTCAACGGGCAGAACGATCTTGACGTTGTTCTTCTTCGCCTTCTCAACAAGGTCCTTGACAGTCTTGCTGCCGGCCTCGTCGAACAAGCTGTCGCCAATCTTGACGCCCTCGAGTGTCTTCTTGAAGGTGAATGACATGCCTCCGCAGATGATGAGGCTGTTGACCTTGCCGAGCAGGTTGTCGATCAGCTGGATCTTGTCGGAGACCTTGGCGCCACCGAGGATGGCGAGGAAGGGGCGCTTGGGCTCCTCGAGCGCTTGCGCAAAGTAGTCGAGCTCCTTCTTGACAAGGAAGCCAGATGCCTTTTGTGGGAGGTCGACGCCGACCATGGAGCTGTGTGCGCGGTGGGCAGTGCCGAAAGCGTCGTCTACAAATGATTAGTACTTTGCACCTCCTCATAGTACTATGGTGTCACTCACTGATGTAAATGTCACCAAGAGCAGTCAGGCCTTTCCTGAACTCCTCAACCTTGCTCTTGTCAACCTTCTGCTTCTTGCCCTCGTCATCCTTGTAGCTACCCTCCTCCTCGGCGTGGAAGCGCAAGTTCTCCAGTAGGATGACCTGGCCGCCGCTAGCGCCGTTAACGGTGTCCTCGACCGACTTGCCGACGCAGTCGTCTGTGAAGGTCACGCTCTTGCCGAGGAGCTTCTCGAGTTCGGGAACAACCGGCTTGAGACTGTACTTTGCGTTTGGCTTTCCGTCTGGGCGGCCGAGATGCGACATGAGGATGACGGCCTTTGCGCCATTGTCTACAGCGTGCTTGATTGTGGGAAGGGCGCCGACGATGCGCTGGTTGTTGGTGATGTTCTTGTCGGAGTCGAGAGGGACGTTGAAGTCGACCTGGTGTGTCGCGGTCAGATTTGTGTTTGTACTTCACACCAAAGTTCCGAATATACTCACTCGGATGAGGACGCGCTTGCCCTTGAGGTCGACGTCGGCAATTGACAGCTTGTTAGAGAGAGACATGGTGGGTGTATAGTAGTACTGTGATGGTGTGAGTTTAATGAAGCTCTAGATGTATCAATCGAAATATACAACTGCCAGCTATATACCTCAGGTAAAGGTCAACTTACGTCAATGAGTTGGAGAAAAGAAGAAGCGTGGGAGGTGTTCAATGTTTGTTGTCGAGCTTCAGATCGTCATGGGCAGGCTTGGTGGGGTGTAGCGGGGCAATCCACGGGTTCTCCTGCATGCAAAGCTTCGCGCTCTTTATCGAACCACAAAAAAGCAAGTTGACGTGACCAGGCTAGAGAAATTAGCTGAGGTAAAACACATTTTGCTGCCCGCGCGTCTTGGGGCTTGACAAAGTGGGCAGCCAAGGTCGACATCCCCCGCGGCCGAGAGTACTCAGTGGTGTTGGGGTATCGTTGCAACGCGTCTTGCATGATCTCTCCACATGAAGACTTGGTAAAACACACAATCCAAGCATACACGCAAGGCGAACAATATTTGTGCATGATGATAGTTTCATTCTGTATCAAATTCAAGACTGTACATAACACATCGACCGTATCAAAATCAACTAACCTGACGCCGTGCAAATGCCTAACCAAACATGCTAACGCGCGAGACGCTCAAAGGGAATCACCCGATGCCACCATGACCAGACCTTATGTGTACGTATGATATTTAAACATGGGAATTCGTTCGCATAATTCGGATAGGCTTAGGCTTCGTCGGCCGAGTTCGTCAAAGAGAGGTAAGCTGTCCAAGCAATACCTACGGTAGATACGAATGGCTGGCATACGTTAGTTGATAGAACTGCAACCTGGAGCAAAGAACTTACAATCTGGAATTGGATAGGCATGACTCGGAAGTTGATGAGCTGCACGGCCGGCCAGACCATGTAGTTGGCCTTGAGCGCAGGTACATACACATCCTGGAACTTGCGCTGCACAGCACGCTTACCACCACCCTCGGCAACGGTCATGAAGGTGAAGAAGGCAGCCAGACCAGCTGGGGCGAACAGGAACTGATCGAAAGCCACGCGCTTGAGTGCTGGCAACCATGTCGCAGTCTTTGAAACGGGGAAAGTCCTGGACAGGAAGCCGAACCACCTGTGCTGGATAGGCGACATGAGGAAACCGTAGGACATGAATCTCGTGGTTCGCTCGAAATCGAAAGGCGGGGGGAGTATCTTCGAGTCGGGGATAAGGTCGTTCTCGTTGAACGGGTTCCGTCTGTCGAGCTCGTGAATTTCAATCGCCAGGAAGTCGTCCTTGCCTGGGCCGCCCTTCTTGCGTACTGCGCGCTCCCGCACGGCGGTGAGCGTCTGGGCTACTGTGTCCGCGATACCACCCAACACCTGCAGATGGTGTTAGCCTCCCTATTTCGTCATGTCTAAGATATGTCGGGTTCGGCGCAGAAGTCGCAACATGCGGTGTGACGGTCGCGCGCCATGCCACTCGATGCGCATGGCGTTTATAACAAGGGAGCACGTACGGCGTTGGTGATCATCGTGGTGAGAACTGGACGCGCCGCATAGTACTGGTTGTACTTGCGCGTGAGCATGCTGACGGCCGCCATTTGGAGCAGGAATACTATCGAATGCAGCAGCGGCTGGAAATAATTAGTCGACCATCAAATTGTATCAGGAGCAGTGGCTTACGATCTTCCCGTATATCCAGCGGCTGTTTAGCTGGTAAAGCAGTCTGTGTCTGGTGCTGTTCATGTTTAGTATGGGTCCTGTGAAAAGCTCTAGGTGTAGCGTTGCTCGAAGATCGCGATGACGTTGATGAAACGTAGCCGCAGGCCCGTGTGCGGCTATAAGTGGTCCTATCTGTTGCGGCTCAAAAGCGCGATAAGGAAATAGGGCAGGCGACAATACTATCGTGATTAAGAGCGGTTTGTGGTAGGAAGTGTAGCAGAGGCATGCGATGCGCAGCCGCAGCCCAGGGTTCAGTGCGGAGGTGCTGCAACAGTGGCGAGAGTTTCACGCCGGGACCAATGACGAGTTTCAGACATCAAGCGACGACTGGCATCAGCCTAGTTCCGCGCGCCTATGGCTCGTACTATCGAGCTATTTCCAAGACGTAAAGTTGGGAGCCCGGATGTCTAGCACTTTCTCGTCGACCGAATTCGGTGGTGGCATCTGTGCTCCACTCTGCTGAGCGCCATGTGAGCTCCACAGTCTGTCTCGGCGTCACAAGCACGAACCCGTCCATGGTCTACTACAAGCAACCTTGGAACGGCGCAACATAAAAGGGGGCACACTATCTGCATCGCACGCTTCATTGACTAAAAATAGTCTAAGCTATAGGAGGTGTTGCGAGCTCACGAGGCTACAGCAACAATACTTGGTAAATCATGAATATCCACAGCTTCGTTGCTGACCAGATCGACGACTCGTATCGATTCCACGGACAATACTCCTGCCGAAAGCGCAAGAAACTTGAGGTCGGCCGTGTAGCAGGAGCCGGGTGAGAGTTGCCTGAGCACGTTAGCCATTCGATCTGTGACCTTTCTGCTTACTCCGACTTACCCGAGCCGTATGTCGGTTGTCAAGCAGATCAAGTCCGCTGTATCGGTCCTCGCACTCTTTTGCTTAGCGTACACGACATTTTCGTCAACGACCGCCGTCCCAAACAACTCTTTCTTGTCCGTTCGAGGTCCGCCTACAGAAGAGACAGATGGGTGTGATTTGTGCTTCCCCGAGTCTCTCGGTCTTTTCGCGATGACCAGAACTGCCAGCCTTCGCGTTTTGTCCGACCGGTTGACTATGAATACGTCCCACGTGAAGATCTCGCCAACCTTGACACTGGGCGGTCCAGACACTGTCAGAGTGACATTGACGTCGTTGTGTGAAGCATCCTGTTCGGGTTGATCCTGGGCATCTTGAGTGACAAGGGCGTCGGGGTTGGCTGCGTTCGCGCTCTGTGTTGTAGAGCTACTTGGCCGACTAGTTTTGGCCAAGTTGAGCGCCTGTTCTGACGGGAAGTCAACGGGTGTCTTCCACTCGATAGCAATATCTGGATGGCAATGATCAGACATTGTGACATTTGCCTCAACATTCAACGTCAAGTAATGACCCTTGCTCCCAAGTGCTGGTGTTCCATCGGTACCGATATCAGGTCTGATCTTGTACAGAAACGTCAGCTGATCACCAGGTTTGTGGCTCGTCGTGGTATCCAGCTCGTCGTTCAACTCTTGAACCTTGCCTCCATGCAGAGCCAGGCCGACCTTCTTGATTCTGACGTCGTAGGTAGCAAATTGAGCGACTTCCAGATCTAGAGAGGCCATCAAAGACAGGTCGCTTATTGATGCTTGGATCCTCGAATAACGTATTCTCCATATCAAAGGCGGCAGCACACGGAACAGTGGTCTTTGTCCGTTTCGGATCGGTCGAGCCATTTCTTTAGCAGCAGGGGCAGTCGGAGTGACCTTGCTGATACGCATTGCTGAGAGTCTTGGATGGACACCAACAAGAGCGGGATCATTCTCGAATGACTGCAGTAGATTCAGTGGTGTCGGCACGCCGCTTGGAAGGTAGTCGTCCTCCGACGCATCTTTTTGAGGCTTTTCTTCTGGCTTAAAGGACGCTGTGGGTTGGAAGTATACTGCGGGCTTGTGAAATCTGCCTTGTGGACGAGCTGGTGATGATTAGATACGATGTATGCGGGCTTAACTGATAAACTCACCTATGAAAACGTCCACCTTCCAGATGACATAAGTATGAGCACTGTCCTCTTCACCATGATTGACAACCGTAGGTTCATCTGTGTGATTGATGGTACCTGAGAAGATGACTTCTTTGGGAGGCGTAGCTTTTGGATCTTGATCAGACGGGGGAACCGTACTGAATGCAAAAGCCTCGACGTTGATCACCAGTCTTGCAAGATACGACTTCAAGGTCGCTTCGTCTAACAGCGGTGTTTGGAAAACAACATATACGGCTAGGAGTTCATCTAAAGGCCTGTGTATGAGTAAGAGACGTGCTAGTTGTATTCCATTATTGGAGACGTACCGAGAAGTAGCACATTTCGTTGTGCTAGGAACGGCAATATGGAACCATTGTCGTCTGCTGCACCATCCCAAGAGTCGATCTCGCTCTTGATGTCGATGTCGGAACTCGCAGGCACCACAGCTTCCAGCACTGAGCTCTCGGCAAACTCGAGGCTCCTGCGTTGTATCACCTCATCGTCTGCCATGATTCCACAGAACTATCGAGGTGAAGGTAGATGTGAAGGAACACGTGAATGTGGTGCCTGAACTAGGGGTCCTGCTTTCGCGCTACTCAAACCGTCCGTGCGCGAACAAGTTCCACAACTTCTTTGCAGACAAGCGTTCTGACTTTACCCATCCCCACGCGCAACCATCGACAACCGGCGCAATGAACGGCCCACCCTACGCGCCGCCAATGGCTCAAGCTTCTGTATGGTCAGTCGCGTCAACAGCCGATGGCAAGGAGTACTACTTCAACAAAGCCACGAACCAAACCACGTGGGAAAAGCCCGACGAGCTCAAGGACGATGTAGAGGTACTTGATCTCATGATCATTCGACAGCGAGACAATACTGACGCTAAAAAGCGCGCGATTCCCGGCACCGGCTGGACTGCGCACGTAGCAAACGGCAAGCGATACTTCGCAAAGACTGGCACGAGCGAGACTACGTGGGAGATTCCCGAGGTTGTGCAGAAGAGGATCGACGAGTACAAGCAGAGCCTGCAGAACCAGCGCCCGCCTCCTGCCGGTCCTGCGGGATGGCCAACGGGACCAGCCTCGAACGCGCCTTCATACGACAACAGACGCCCCGAACGCGACGAGTACCGCCCCGACCGACACGACCGCCGCGATGACCGTGACCGTGATCGCGAGCGCGACCGTGAATCTGGCTTTGGCGGCGACCGCCCCAACATCAGCTTCACGACCGGCACCGAGCTGCAGTTTTCTACTCCGCAGGAAGCCGAGGCTGCTTTCATGAAGGTGCTCAGGCAGATGAAGGTGCAGCCCGACTGGACCTGGCAGCAGGCCGTCCGCGCCGGTATCCACGATCCCAACTGGCGCGCCATTCCCGAGCCGGAGAAGCGCGAGGAGGCCTTCAAGAAGTACTGCGAAGACTTGCGCGCCCAAGAGAAGCACAAGGAGCAGGATCGCCAAGCCAAGCTACGATCCGACTTCACAGCCATGCTGCGCTCGCACCCCGAGATCAAGTACTACACACGCTGGAAGACTGCTCTTCCCATCATCGAAGAGGAAACCATCTTCCGCTCAGCCAAGGACGACAACGAGAGAAGGGCTCTGTTCGAAGAGTACATCATCTCCTTGAAGAAGGCGCACGAAGAGGAAGAGGCAGAGAGCAGGCGTTCTGCACTCGATGAGGTCATGGGTCTGCTGAAGGGCCTGGATCTGGAGCCGTTCACGCGTTGGCAGGCAGCTGAAGAAAAGTTGGAGCAGAACAACGAGTTCAACAGCGAGAAGTTCGAAACTCTGACTCGAATGGATGTCTTGAACCAGTTCGAAAAGCACATCAGACAGCTACAGCGCGAACACAACGACAAAGTCCAAGCTGAGCGACGCAAGAAGCACCGCGTCGAGCGCAAGAACCGTGATGCATTCCTCGAGCTTCTAGACGAGCTTAGGAGGGACGGTTTGCTTCGCGCTGGTACCAAGTGGAAGGACATTCACAGTCACATCGAGAACGAACCGCGCTACACAGCCATGCTTGGGCAGAGCGGATCATCGCCACTCGATCTATTCCGTGATGCTCTGGAGGAGGAAGAGGGCAAGTTCCGCACTCTGCGCCGAAGGGCGCTTGATGTACTAGAGGTATGTTGACCCCCAACTCCCCACTAGAACTGGACTAACTGTGCTGCTAGCAACAACGCTTCGAGGTTACCACGTCGACCCCTGTGGAAGACTTCCTTAACGTTATGCGAAAAGATCCTCGCACCGCTGATATTGACGAACAGTCCATGCATAGCATCTACAATTACGTCCTTGCGAAGGTCAAGAAACGCGAGGAGCAAGACCGCCAAGACGAAGAGTACAACGAGCGCTCCACTGTGGACAAGCTTCGCTCAGTTATCAAGCATCTTGACCCGCCGGTGTCGCTGTCAGACACCTGGGAAGTGGTACGTCCCCGCGTTGAAAAGACAGACGAGTATCGCGCACTGAAATCAGATACCCTCCGCGAATCGGCTTTCGACAAGTTCATGTCCCGCTTGAAGGAGAAGGAGAGCGACCGCAGAGACCGAAGCAGGCGCGATGGCCGTGACCGTAGTAGGGACAGGCGTGACCGAGATCGTGAGTATCGCAATGGTCATTCTGACTCTCATCGTCGTCACCGTACACGAACTCGCTCACCTGAACATGACCCGTATGCTGCAGAGCGCCGTCGTGCGGTACAGGACAGGGAGGCGCGCTACAGGAACAACGACAGTACAGGCTTGTCTCCTCCCCCGCGCCGTGAGCGCCGAGACGACGATCGTTACGAGCGTTCTCGTCGCAGCCCTGGCGGTGATCACTACGTACGTGAGCGCCGCGAGCGTGAAGCCGAACGCGAGCGATCCTATGTCAGCAGGGCCGATCCCCGTGAGGCCACTGTCAGTCTGCTAGACTACGGCGACAGCGGTGGTCGCACGTCATCAGCTCGACGCCGTCGGGAAAGCGACGAGAGCTCTTCCAAGCGCGATCGTGAGACCAAGGTCCGCAAAACCACGCCCCATATATAT